TCAGCAGCAGCAAGGGGACAGCAAGCCCCAGATGGCCAGTGGGAAGGAGGTAGCCGATGACTGTTGGCCAACATGTAGAAAGGAGACAACACTTCCCTTGGAAACTGTCAGGATCAGCTTTGCATCAACATCTGATCTACGAAGGGCTGGCCGGTGCCACACTAAAGCGTCCTGCAGGCATGGCCAGCCATTTGAGCAAGCTGCAAAGGAGAGGAGCATGGAAGGTGATGAAAACACAGCCTTGGGTCTAGCTAGAAACCAGCCCTGAAGCTGGTTGGTGTGGGAAAGATGGTGAGGAAAGAAGCTGCGAGGAGGCATAGGAATTAGGTCCAAAGCCACGTGAGAAGCTAATAAAATCCTTATTCCTGATTCCAATACGAAACAGATGGGGGTGGTGAGGATTTTGAATTATATCATCCCCAGTGCAATCCCTCTGCTACAGTGGCCACTGAAATCTTCCAGCTTTGTACCGCAGACATAGACCAAGAAAGAAGACAGAAGAAAAGCTGCGGCACAGGAGATGTACAATATTAGATAAATTTTCCTCATTCATTCATGTCGTTCTTCTTCCTTGAAGTTATAGGAAGGTCTTGTAAGACACCTCCCCACCTCTGTCTTCATCATCTTTTAACTGGCAATAACGCTGGTAAAAACTACCCCTTTTTGCACAAAGGCAGAAAAAGTTACCTGAGGTAAAACGCACGGAGGTCACAGTATTGCTGCCACTGCACGTTGTGGGAAAACCTAGGTTTTCTTCCTTCTTTTTATTATCATTTCCTTAGAAGGAACGCACAAGGGAGGCACATGCAAAAGGAGAGAGGAAGCTACAGCAGCAAGATGACATTTCTGTGCCTGATCTCTACCGTCTGTGGAGAAAAACAAGCTGAGGGCAGGGGCTGCCGCAGCCAGGCATCTCCCCAGCCAAACAGACTATGCCGGCAGTGCTGGCCCTGGGGGGCTGCGGGGATGTCTCTCCCCGGCCACACTGGCAGGGACATGCAAGATTTGCATGCTTGGACACATCTGCTTCCAGCCCAAGTGCCTACAGGGCCTTGGGCAAAGGCAGCAACCCCAATCTCTCCCGCCCCCCCCGCCTTTTTTTTTTTTTTTTTTTTTTCTGGGTCCATAAAGCAGAGCAGAGGGAGGCCCCCGGGCATGCTGAAACCACTGCCCATGCTCTGCTCAACCTCATCTCGCTTCTTCCTCAAGGCAACATCCCTCAAAGCTGCCGCCCGCTTCCAGCGTACCCCTGCGCTTTGTCTGTCTGTCGGCAGACAGGCTGGGGCGGGGGGCATCCTTCTGCTCTGTGCACACACAGAGCCTGCTCGGCACCGTCCCGCTCGTGGGATACTGCCTGCTGCGGAGCTGCCGCCAAAAACTGGGACTGGTGCAACCGAAATACAAATGGAAAGATGCGTGTGTGCATGCAGGTGAGGGAGAGAAGAGAAGTAAAGCTCCACAGCAGCAGAACAAAGCTTAAAAGGTGCCTTATGTTCATAAGGAAGGCCGCTACTTCCAGTTAATCACATTTGTCATGCCCAGATGCCCACGCTCTTGTAAAATCACAGCTGAAATGACTCAGACTGGAAGCCCCTATGCTCCAGCAGGCCAGTTATAGCACATTAAACGTGACACCCTTTTTCCTGTTAGAGCAACAGGTAGACAGGAGCAAGAAACCACTCCTAAAGGATATAAGAGGTCTGTTGAAAAATGAGTTTGCTGTGAGCACTGAAAAGACACTTAAGAGAGGTGGTAAGGGCTCAATAGCAGATGCCCCCTGTCCACTGTGCATCACAGAAGTGACAGCAGGCCTTGGTATTTCTGAGTACTTGGGTGCATGTGCACAAAAACAACTTGCTTAGAGGTTTTGTATAACAAGAGCACAGCCGAGTCAGCAAAGGGGCACACCACCCACCTGCAGCAAGGATTCCCCTTGAGATCCTGGCACATGCATGGTCCATACCACTGAGCAGCCCCTTTTCTAACCAGCATTAGAAACCTCCTGTACCATCAGACCCAGCTGGACAAGGAAAAGCACCCCATGTCTCTAACCTCAACCTTCCTGCCAGATAAGAAGTGAGGGAACTGGCAATATCCTTGCAGCTTTACACTCCCTCTCTTGAGGAGCAAGACAATGTCATGCTGCAGCCCTGACTGAGCTTCGATCCCCATTTTTGAAGAAGGAAGGGATTTTCTGGATGTTACTTGGAGGGAGGCACCGGAAGTCCCTGTACTGATGTCTCCCCAAGGCAAGTGAGGAGAGGGTGTCCAAAGGCAAGGGGGTATCTCTGGAAAGCACAGCAGCTTTGGGCTACTGCCACAGAGGAGCTCTGGAGGCCAGCATGTACCTTCAGCAGGGTGGTGTGGGATGCACGTCCTGAAAACAGCTACAGCAGGGAGCACTGGCAGAGCAGCCCCCCCACCCCCCCAGGACCAACCTGCAATGCTCCCCAAGGAGCAGGACAGACACAGCGAGAGCTATTGCTTGCAGCTGTGGGCTGCCACAGCCCAAACATTGTCCCAGGACAGGGGCAAGGACTGAGCAGAACAAGGCGAGGTCTGCCAGGCTTGCAAAGAACCATGCCCTCACGCTCTTCTGCTCGCTGCAGACACCCTCTCTCCTACCCGTTACACAGGAAATAACACCGCTGGGCTAAACGCAAGCCAGCTCGAAAACCAGGGCACCAACAGAAAAGGAGATATCTCCCAGTATGGTGGACCTGTCTTTGGTTAGGCCTGTCAGCCCGTGGCTGAGGATGCTTGGCCTCTGGTCAGCCCGCTGCATTGCTGGGCATCTCCATCTCCTGACGCGCAGTAGAGCAGGGGACCGAATGCAGCCATGACAATGGGGTGTTTCTTTGCAGCCACTGCTATCTCTGCAGTATCATTTTCACTGCAAAAGCCACAAAGTGCTGTAGTCACATACATTTGCTTTTGTTGCTTGCTCTCTTTTTTACTCTTCTGTTCTTTGTAATACACTAAGCAGTTTCCTCACAGGGAATGTAAGTATCATACTTATATTTCCATGTAAAGGTGACAGACTCCCACACATCTGAAGGCAGCATCTCGAGAGACAATATGTAGCTGTTCCCAGCTCTAAGCCTTCAACCTACTGATAAGCCAATAAACATTCATGCCTGAGGCTAGTAAGAAAAGAGAATGTTATTAGATCCAGAAAATGAAGAGTACAAATACGCTTAGCATCTTATTCTCATGAAGTCAGCATGCAATAAGCCAGTGAGGATTTGTAGTCCATCTGATAATTTGCACCATCTCCTCTGGCGTGAAGCTTAGGTCGTATTAAATGGCATTTGCATGGGACTCACTGCTCTTCCCTGAAAGTACAGTCAGACACCCTGCACTCACCACCACCTGAGACCCTCACCCTCAAAGACGACAGGAGTATTGGAAATCCACACTTCTAAATTTCTCACAAAGACAGGCCTTTAGTTAGGCACGGTTTGTGGGAGAAAAGCAAACATGACCGTGATTAAAACACCAGTGGGCAACATTATGTGGAGGGGAAACTTTGGGTAAGGCTAACCTTATCCTTGGGAGCAATCCTGAGTTTGCACCCTAGCCTACAAGACTAACAGCTGGGATCCATCTGGGTTGTCCTGAATGGTAGGACTCACAAGTTTCAGGATGGCACATTCCCTTCTCCTTTAGCATAACTTTGCAGGACAAGGTGAATTGTGGGCAGTGGCTGGAGTGGGGAAGAAGCAAAGCCAGTCCTGGCAGGAGGAATTGCCCCTGCACTGTGAAATACCAAGGAACCTGCTGGCTTCCACACACACTTTCAGCCATTTGGCTGATGAAAGCCACATATCCCCCCCACTTCACTTCTGCCTTACACAGATCCAAGGAAGGAAGAAGCCCAGCTTGAATGAAGTGGTGCAAAAGTGAAGATCGTGAACTCATGAACTCAGAATAAAGCTTTGGCCAAAGGTTTGGCAGGGATGCTGACTCAGTGGCTTGGAGCCCGTTACATGCAAACTGAGAGCACTGCTTTGCCTGTACGCAGTGGAAATATTCCAAAAATAGCGACACACCCTGTCAGCACTGAAATGGCTGTCTGCAGAAATTTTTCCGTCCTTCTCTAAACAGAGGTAAATGGAAGCTTTCAAACAGTGAGTCATGCTGAATAGTCCCTTGGCTGATTATTCCAAGATAAATGGTTCCCTTGCTATGGCTGTAACACCACATCATCAGCCCCAGGTGTTCTCTCTCAGACTTGTTTTCTTCTTTTCTACTCACAAGCCTGTGTCAACAGCCAAACCTCAGAAAAGACATCCAGTTTAGGTCTGGTGTGAAGGAATGAGGCATCCTTAGACCGACAATCTGTGGTTCACAACAACTGAGGCTAGAGCAGGTGTCAGCATCCCATCAGATAGTTACTCTTGCAGACTGTGTACTTCGGTCTTGCTTGTTTGACACTGATTTCCATCATCTATGGATTTCCATCACCTATTCCAAGCTATCCTAGATTTAGGATCTAACTTTCAGTATCTTATTTTAGTGATTTCAGTGACATTACTATTACTG